CAAGAGAAGACCCCAAGAAGAGCAGCGAAGCGTCAAGAACAATATGAAGGAGACAAACAAAAGCAAAGAAAATGTTATAAACCCTCAGAGACCCCACTGAACTCTAAAATGCATTAAATTAAACCCTCATAAACCCTAAACCCTAAACCCTAACAAACCCTTACGGAGGGTTTGTTAAACCCTAAACCCTCCTTAAAACCCTAACAAGCCCTCCCTACTAAGCCCCACGAATCGCTCTAGAAAACCCTAAACCCCCAACCCTAACCCTCAAACCCTAAACCCTAAACCCTAAACCCTAAACCCGAAAGGGAAGGAGAAATAGAAAACGAACCTGAAAAGACACTCCACTGAGCCACCGCTCAACTTTTAGGGGCCTCTTTAACTCCAGCAATGTGCCGAATTTACTCCTTTGATCTTCTAGATAAAACCCCCCCTAAACCACAAACCCTAGCAAACCCTAATAAACCCTCATAAACCCTTCAGTCCTAAACCCTAATCACTAATACACCCTAATAAACAAAGGAATTAACCCTAGTAAATATATTTATCCTACTCGTAATAGTAAATATATTTATCCTACTCGTAAACCCTAGCAAACCCTCCTAATAAAGACGCCCAACAAACCCTAGCAAGCCCTCACCATAAACCCTCATAAACCCTAATAAACCCTCATAAACCCTAATAAACCCTAATAAACCCTCCCAAACCCTAAAAACCCATCAAAACCCTCCCTCTAAACCCTAAACCACCGTCTGCCCTAACCCGTCTTCCGCAAGCGTGCACTGCAGTGTACAGTCCGCATTAGGGTTTAGGGTTTAGGGTTTAGGGTTGGGACATGCCTGCTGGTGGCGAATAAGAGCGTGAAACCTCGAGACCGATATATCACTCAGACGAATATCAGAGTCGTGGCCTCTGCCCAGCCTCGCAACCTTCCTATTTGAGAGGGATACAACATGCAACCCCCGAGGAGGCGCCGAGCCCCCCCCCGCACTTGGCTGAGTGCTCCGAGGCTCTAAACACACAAACCCTAAACCCTAAAACACCCCAAACCCTAAACCCCAAACCCTTAACCCGATACCCTACACTAAGCAACGCCACCAACCAACCAACAATATCACGCCACCGCCATGTCCCCAGCTAGCTAGCTAGCTAGCTGGCTAGGCAAGTGGCTAGGCAGCTCGGTAGGCAAAGCTAGCTAGCTGAATAGCTAGCTAGCTAGCTAGTTGCTAGCTAGCTAGCTAGTTGCACAGCTAGCTGCTGGGGGCGTACCTAATATAAAGTAGGGGAACTGAGGCCTGGGTATTGCGAAGAGCTCAATAACTTTTCTATTAGCCTCCACCAAAGACGGATACGGCGCCTTGCACAGCTCACCTGCAGCAGCAGCAGCAGCAGCAGCAGCAACAGCAGCAGCAATGGCGATAGCAGCAGCAATGCAAGCAGCAACAGCAAAAGCGACATAAGCAGGGGCAGAAGCAACAGATGCTTCAGGTATGAAGCTGTAGCGTAGCTTCTGCAAAGTCGTGTTGCCTAGCTAGCTAGATATGCGGTTAGCTAGCTAGCTAGCTAACTAGCTAGCTATATAGATAGATAGACAGGTGACTACCTAGCTAGCTAGCTATATATATGGATATGTGGCTAGCTAGCCAACTAGCTGGCTAGCTAAACAGACAGAGTGATAGACGGGTAGTTAGCTAACTAGCTAGCTAGCTAGCTTGCTGGCTAAATGGATAGATAAAGAGATAGGTGGCTAGCTAGCTAGCTAGCGCGAGAGATGCAAAGGGGCCTCACAGTCCAAAGAGCGGAGGAAATATCCAACCGTAGAGCCGTCCTGAAAAACAAACCCTAAACCCTAAACCCTAAACCCTAAATCACCGCGCATCAACCGCCAGCCCCGACACCCCCGAGCAAGAAGCCAAGGGCTTGAGGTTTCTAGACTAGATAAGGGTTTAGGGTTTAAGTCGAGAGGAGGGTTTAGGGCTTTATATTTGGTTCAGCTGAGGGTTTAGGGTTTTCGTTGAGGTGAGGGTTTAGGGTTTACATTGCGAATGTTTAAGCGGCCCTCCATCCAGGTGCGTAGGCACTGCAAATGCACAAACTGCATGCTGCCTGTACACCGCAGCAGCAGCAGAAGCAGCAGCAACACGAGCAGCAGCAGCAGCACAACAGCAACGCAGACGACAATGATTACAGCAGTCTAAGGTTTTAGTTTAGGGTTTTTTAGCATGCCCGCGGCCCAAACCCTAAACCCTAAACCCTAAAGACATGTATCTAAAGGGTTAGCGGCGTACATGAGGGTTTAGGGGTTGTGCATGGGTTTAGGCCTTGTGAGGGTTTAGGGTTTGTGAGGGTTTAGGGTTTATGAGGGTTTAGGGTTTATGAGGGTTTAGGGTTTACCTTTGCAGCGACAAGGAGCGACAAGAGGGTTTGTATCGGGGTTATCATCTTCTGCTGCTTCACAAAGACAAATGCGGCAGGCGGGCCTAGAGAAGAGACTGCTGCAGCAGCAACAGACACAGCAGCAGCAGCAGCAACAACAGCAGCAGATGAATGCTCTGCTCGTCAAGCACAGCAGCAGCAGCAGATATAGCAACAATAGCAGCAGCAGAAGCACAAGCAGCAGCAAGAGAAGCAGCAGCAGCAAGGGTAGTAGCAGCAGCGAGGCAAACGAACAGCAGCAAAGGCTCGCTGCTGCTGCTGCTGCTGCTGCTGCTGCTGCAGCGCCGCAGCCTCACCTTCGGCTGGCTCTTGCATCAGCACTAAGGGGGCGCATTCCCCCAGTTGAAGCCCCTGCAGCAAGCAAACAAAGCCGTCCAGCAGCAGCAGCAACTGCAGCACCAACTGCAGCAGCAGCAGCAGCTACAGCAGCAACAGCTACGCCAACAACAGCTACAGCAACAGCTGCAGAAGCGGCTACAGCCCAGGACCGGAACACAGTTTCCTCTCCTTCCCTAACCCTAAACCCTAAACCCTAAACCCTAAACCCTAAACCCTAGACAGTCACCATCAGCTGAGTGGTTTGCTGCTTCTCCAGCGTCGTAGAAAAGCTCAGCTCCTACACCAGAGCCCTTCGGAGTAAGGAGACAGCCTTCAGAGACACAGCGAGAGAGGGGCCCTGCGAGAGCAGCTCTGCTGCCTGCTGCTGCTGCTGCTGCTGCCACGGCCCTCAAGGGAGACCCTGGAGGCAGCGCCGCAGCCGCAGCAGCAGCAGCAGCAGCTGCTGCTGCTGCTGCGGCTGCGTGCGTCGCCACAGGGGAAGGCCCAAATGCCTCTCTGCTAGGCATCCTGCTGAAGACGGGTTGCTCTGCTGCTGCTGCTGCTGCTGCTGCCGCAGGGCAGCTGACGGAAGCAGCAGCAGCAGCTGCTGCTGCTGCTGCACCTTCAAGGGCTGCCGCTGCTGCGCTATCATCGCCATCTCCTGCTGCTGCTGGGGCTACTTCCTCCCCTGAATCAAACTCTGCATCTGCTGCTGCTGCTGCTGCTGCTGCTGCTGCGCTCTCCGGCTCAGGCGCCACCGTCTCGCAGTCATCGACGTCTCCCAGGTGAGGACGCTGCCTGCAGCAGCAGCAGCAGCAGCAAAAGCATCAGCATCGGCACCAGCAGCAGTAGTAGTGGCGGCAGCAACAGCATCTGCAGCATCAGGAGTGGTTAAGTCTTTTGTCTGTACGTGTGTCTAGCTGGGTGCGTCTGGGCTTGAGTGTGCGTGTGTAGCTAGTTATCTAGCTAGCTGGCTAGCTAGCCACAGAATTAGCTGCCTAGCCGCATGGCTAGCTACCTAGCCCCATAGATAGTTTGGTAGCTAGCTACCCACGCAGCAAGCTAGCTATCTAGCTAGCTAGCTAGCTAGTTAGTTAGCCGGCTAGCTAGCGACACAGCAAGGTAGCTGCTAGCTAGCCACAAAGCAAGGAAACTGCTATCTACCCAGAGAGCGCAAGCTAGCTAGCTAGCTAGCTAGCCGCGAGTATGCATGCAAGTGCAGCACAGATGATACCTGGCAGTAGCTTGCAGCGCTTGCTGCTGATCTAGAACAGCTTCTTTTACTTTGAGTCTGTATCTGCCTAACTTTATTACATCTCCTTCACTCAAACGGACGCCGCCGCTGTCTCGCAAACTGCGCACCACCAACCATACCTTCTCCGCCTGCAGCAGCAGCAGCAGCAGCAGCAGCAACAGCAGCAGCAGCAGTAGTGTGATGAAGCAGCTAACGATCATTAACATCAACAAGCAAGCAGTAGATAAGACCGCAGATGCAGATAAGCCAGCAGCACTAGACGGAGCAGCAGCAGCAGAAGCAGCAGCAACAGAAGCAGCAGCTGCTGGAAACTCAACGAGAGCTAAGCCAGCTGCTGCACTTACTGCAGCAGCAAATAAGGCAGCAGCAGATGCAGCAGCAAATGAAGCAGCAGAAGAAGCAGACAAGATAAAAAGCGTTTACGGGGCAGAGGAGAGCTGTGGTGAAGAACAACAAATCTCTGCTGCTGCTGCTGTTGCTGCTGCTGCAGCTGCAGCTATTCCTGCTGCTGCTGCTGCTGCTGCTGCTCACCTCAGCCTGGCTTGTTGAAGAAGCTGTCCGGGCCCCACGCGCTCCTGCTGAGCCTGATCGTGCTGGCGGGTCTGATGCTGCCGCTGCAGCAGGAGCTTCTGCTGCTGCTGCTGCTGCTGCTGCTGCTGCACCCCGAGCAGCAGCCGCTGCTTGTGCTGCAGCAGCTGCTGCAGCTGCTGCTGGAAACGAAGTGTAACAGCCGCTGTTGTTTCGGTGGGTCTCTCCATCTTCGTCTGCCTCTGCTGCTGCTCCTGTCCTCTCTGTTGCTGCTGTTGCATGCGCTGCACTTGCTGCTGCTGCTGCTGCTGCTGCCGCTGCTGCCGCTGCTGCTGCTGCGTTCTCATCTCCACCGTTGGATGCAGGCGATGCCCCCCAATTCTGATGCTCTTGCTGCTGCCGACCTGCTGCACCTGTTGCGCCCGCTGCTGCTGCGTCTGCTGCTGCTGGCTCCAGCGCAGGCTGTCTCTGCTGCTGCTGCTGCTGCTGCTGCTGGCGTGTACTGAGCTGCGCTGCAGCTGGTGGCGCAGGCGTGTCCGCAACACCAGGAGCAGCCGCAGCAGCAGCAAGAGGAGCAGCAGGAGTAGCAGCAGCAGCAGCAGCAGCAGCAGCAGCAGGAGGTGGAGGCAGCACGCAGTAAGCCCCGTCTATCCATGTAATCCTCAGCAGCGCTTTTGCTTCTGTTGCTTCTGCTGCTCTTGCCTGCTGCAGCAACCCCACAGCTTCTTCTTCAGAAGAGACAGATACTTCGCCCGCTATTCTAATGCAGCAATATGAATCATCTGCAGCAGCAGCAGCAGCAGCAGCAGCAGCAGCAGACACCGCAACGCATAAGAAATAAACAAATACAGAAAAATGCATGCATGCATGCAGAAACAGACGGGTATATACACCGAAGATCTACCCCTCAAACAAACATTTAACAATAAATGTAGCACAGCAATAATGCATGCATGCATGCAGCAGCAGCAGACTAATGCATGCATGCGTGCATACAGCAGCAGTACACAAATGCATGCATGCATGCATGCAGCAACATACGCAGGCATGCATACAAAGACAGAGATAAAGACAGAGAGGGACGGAGACAGAAACGAAGACAGAGACAGATACAAAGACAGACGGAGACAACAATAAAAAAAATACAGACAAAGACAGAGACAGATAAAGAGAGACAGAGACAGAGACAGAGACATAAAGAGACGGAGACACAACGAAGAAAGAGAGACAGAGACATTAAGAAAGAGACACAGAGACATTAAGAGAAAGAGAGACAGAGACGCAGAGACGCAGAGACAAAAGGAGACAGCAGCACAGACAGAGACAGACAGAGACAGAGACAGAGACAGAGACAGAGACAGAGACAGAAACAGAGACAGAGACAGAGAGACAAAGACAAGAGTAAAGAGACGCACAGGCACAGCAACGGAGACACACGCACAAATTCTAAGCCAGCGCAACACACTGCAGCAGCAAACAGCAGCAAACAGCAGCCACCAGCAGCAGCAGCTGCAGCAGCAGCAGATTCCACCACACAAGAGAACACGCCCGACGCCTCATATCTCCAACAGCAGCAACAGCACCAGCAGCAGAAGCAGCAGCAAAAGCAGCAGCAAAAGCAGCAGAAGCAGCAGCACAATTAACCGAAGCAGCAGCAGCAGCAAGCATTCAGCAGTACTCGCACGATCAACAGCAGCAGCCAGCAGCCTAAGTAGAAGCACCAGCAGCAGCAACAACAACAACACAATCAACAGCAGCACCGGCACCAGCATCACCAGCACCAGCAGCAGCAGCAGCAGCAGCAGCACTCACGCATGCAGTTAATTCTGTATGTCTTCTTCGCAACATTTCTCGATTCATAATCAAACAAGCCGTGGCTGTCGCTCGCCCAAGTCGTGCAGTGTATATACATTGAATAACCCCTTGTCTTAGAGGGGCCCCCAGGGGGGCCCCCCGGGGGGCCCCCAAGCGATATTCCTTTTGAACCCCTTGAGACGCCATCACCTATCTCGTTGGTGCCATCGTTCATAGCTGCAAATGCACGCTGCTGCTGCTGCTGTGGCTGCGGTTGCTGCTGCTGCTGTGGCTGCGGTTGCTGCTGCAGAACAGGAACTGTTCTATCGTGGGAGACGATATTGTTGTTGTTGTTGTTGTTGTTGTTGTTGCTGCTGCTGCTGCCTTGCTCTATAGCCACAGGCCGCCCGTTGTCGTTGGGGGCCCCGGCCTGGCCTACGGTTTGGGGGGAGAGGCCCTCCATAGATAACGGTGCTGCTGCAGGAAGTAGCAGCAGCAGCAAGCAGCAACACGGCAACCCTGCTGCTGCTGCTATGCTGCAGGGGAGCTTGCTGCAGCGCAGCAGCACACAACACACAAACAAAGGGTAATAGAAGTGGTGGGGGCCCTCCAAAGGCTTAGAGCTTCGTAGAGACGTACAAGAAGCCCCAGAGTGCAGGCGTCGCTAACGACCAGAGCAGCAGAAGTTGCTGCTACACCTGTTGCTGATGCTGCTGCTGCTGCTGTCCCTGCTGCTGCTGCTGCTGCTGAGTTTATGGAGGCCCTGCAGCAGGAAGGGGGCCCCCGGGGCCTTGAGGCCCAGAAAGAACAGGGGTAAGGGGGGCCCCTGCCTGTGCAGCTGGGAGGAAGCACTGCTGCTGCTGCTGCTGCTGCTGCTGCTGCCGCAGCAAAGAAAGAAGAAGAAGAGCAGGAGAAGCAGAATAAGAGACAGCAGAACTTAAGTAGAGATAGGGATTAAGGGTGGCTAAGGAAGAGCAGAAACCAATAGATAAGCTGCTGCAGCTCGCAGCAGCAGAAGCTTGCTGAGGTCTAGAGAGAGTATAAATGCTTGAACTCTCTTCTAAAGAGTGTTTATTTGTATAAATAATTGAATTAAAATAATTATAAAAAGGGTTTATACACTCGTCACACGAAATAAACAAACAAACCTCTGCTGCTGTCTGCAGCTCTCTTGCTGCGCGGCTGCTGCCTAGCTGCAGCAACTCTGTGTATCTAAACCCTAAACCCTAAACCCTAAGCCCTAAACTCTAAACCCTAAACCCTCGATCTTCTGCGCCTTTTTGCTTTTAAAAAGATCATTCAACACACTCAACAGCCACCAGCAGGCACCTCTTCTGCCTCCTCTACCCTCTTCATCTGCTGCAGCAGCAAAAGCAGCTGCTGCTGTTGTCTTTCTTTTAAGAAAAGCAAGCAGAAGAACGCCTCAGCGTCTCTTATTCTATTCAGGTGTACATACACCCCCTATGGACTATGCGCTGTACATACACACCTATCTACCACTGCTCTTATTCGCAGTGTACACACAAGCTGGTAAAAGACAGCAAATAAGGCGCCTGCATGCACTCAGCGACATACACTCTAAAAACGAGTAATATCGTCTTAGAAGAGCTTGTAGAAGTCCTTCTCTTCTACCGAAGGTCGGCTACTTAGAGCAGGCTTACGCTGATATTGTCTACGCCTCTGTACGGGGGTGTCAGTGCATCCATCAGAAGGGGCTAAGCTAAGCTGCTGTGTGGGGAGGCCTTCCAATGAGAGCTGCATTAAGGGGTGCTGCAGCTCAGATTTGCTTTGCTTTGTCTCCTGAACAGCACTAACTTGGTGTGCCGCTCCTCGCACGACTGCTGCTGTGTGCTGTGTGGGGCCGCTGCCTCTAGAAGACTATTATCTGAAGCTCCTTCCATCTACTACACCTCCCGAAGGTCCTCTTCTAAGACCACGGGTTGTCAATACAGGTCCCCATGGAGTGTGTAGCACTGCTCAGATCAAAGAGACAAGAAACCTCTCTTTACTAGTGCTATTTAGTTCAAAGGGTATATAACCCAGCATTAAAGCTTTATTGCTGCATGCAGCACTGGCGATCCCTGTAGGCCCCACTATAAATAAATAGAAGACGACATTTTGAGCCTCTCCCCCTAAGGCCTCAACAGAAGAATCTTCTTCGCTCGCACAGTGTTCATTGATCTGGGTCTTCCCTGTGGCGGTGGAGTGGCTAACGGCTGGATGCCCTTTAGCCTTAGAATGCATGCAGTGGAAGGGCCCTATCCAGAGGGAATGTTAATACAACGAAAACAATTTATGAGGAGTGCTGTTGCCTTTGTTGATAATTTAAATAGGACAGATCCTGTATATCCGCCCCACTATAACTCAGTGCTCAGTTCTCGATGTTCTTATTATTGACGAAGAGTTGCTGGTGTTACTTGGCGTAGTCTGCTAAGTTGTCAGTACACCTGAAAATACAGCGAATCGCTGCAGTATATCTGTTTATTGATTAACGCAGTCTCTGCCATAGCCCCTCGCTGCTTATGCAGAACATTCGAGGATCGGTAGACAATGATAGGCTTAGAATGCGAGCTCAACTCAGAAATTACTCATTTACTTTATTTTTATTGCGGCGTTCTACATCGGAATAGTTCACCACGAAATAACTCTAATTATCTCATCGCTCTCCCAGTGGAAGGCCGTATGCTGCCTCAAGGAGGCACTAATGAGGTTTATGTGCGGGGACGCAATGAGAGGAAGGACTCCTTTGATCTCCTAACAACATTTGCATCATCTGCATAAAGGATAGAGGAAGTTGCATCACGAAATAAGGAGGCATAAGGGCCCTTCTCGTTTTCAACTGACCCTAAAAGAAACAGTGAACAAAGAAGAAACGCATGCACCCCGTCGTGATTTGCCCACCACGACAATTCTTTAGGAATTCCACCTAGCCAACATCAGAAAAATAGCAGAAGGAGACGCAATTGCAGGAAGGGTTGCCCTTTAGGGAGGATATTTTAGCTGGCCGGTAACTCGATAGACACCAAACGCACCTCATAGAACTCGCTCTTAAGGCATCATCGCACATTGAAGAAGAAATAGAGGGGCAAAGAAGAAGCAAAGTTCAACCGCCAAGTACAATGGCTTTGCACAAGTTGGTTCTGGTGAAGAAAAAGGATAGGAGATAGTGCTTTCCAATTATTTCAGCCTTCGATGCCCCCCATAGATGAGCTACTTGAGCGCTTGCAGGCTTGGCTTAGCAGTGCATTCATCAGTTGCCTT